TGTTCAAATTCCAGGGTTACCGCTAAACGTGGTCCCGTTGTGCCGAACGTCTACCCATGTGACCTGCCTTCTTCCTGACGACACCCTCTTATCCCTATACCGCGAACAAGTATTGGCGCTCACCTGGTTTGCAATGACGGATTATGCTTCCCAGGGTAAATCACTCAATCCCAATGTGGTACATCTCAATAATTGCAAAGATCATCGAGCTGTCTATGTCACTCTATCTCGAGGAACAGAGGCTGCGGGTACCGTCATTCTGCAGGAATTCGACTTTCGAAAAATCACCAGTGGCATGACCGGATACCTCAGGCAAGAATTTCGAGAGCTAGAAATCCTCGACGAGATAACCACTTTGCGTTTCGCTGGAAAGTTACCTGCCCAAGTAACGGGAATTTATCGAGGCACATTGCTGCAGGCTTACAGAAACTGGAAAAAATCAACCTCGGACCCTCTTCATTTTCACGAAGCAATTAGATTCAACCCGTTCAAAGACAAACCTGCTGGTGACATCTCGTACGGTAAATGGCATCCCACTCATTCGGCCAAAGATAAAGAATCAGCGGTCCTTTTAGACGGCGCAGTGTGCAATAATAAAAAGCGGAAAGTTGTTAATACCCTACCCACCAACCCAAGTGCCAAGCGTTCCAGACTACTGATGCCTGCTACTGCTACAGCCAGCAATTCCGCCCCTCAAAGTCAAAATCCCCTGGGTCTAATTTGGGACAGCCGCAACTATAGCTGTGCTTACGACAGTCTTTTTGTGCCTTTGTCCTTTATCCTACGCGACAATCCCACTGCATGGTCCACAAAATTCACTCAAATGCATGCCCTGCTGGGTCTATGGATTCTCAATTTACAAACGACACCACATCAACCCGAAACTGCCCGAGATAATGTCCGACGAATTCTGCACCTCCAAAATCCACACGAATTTCCCATTGGACCCCAAGGTCTCAGACTGGACACCTTATACATGGCTATAACGAACAGATTAAGCTATGCTAAATCCGTTCTATCCTGTCCATCATGCCACTTCCGAGTCCCTGGCGAAATCAGTGTTTTGACTCAAATTGTGCATGTAGGCAATGTGCAGGCGATACAAGATTTCTATCCCAACGGTGTCCCTCTCTCGGCATGGTTCGAGTATTTCTTTTCACAACCAAGCACCAATTGTCCTCAATGTCGTCTCAATGGAATCGCGATGAGGACTAGAAGAACAACTACAGTGGAGGATGTACCACCAATTCTCTTTGTTACTATTGATTCTGACAGATTAATTCTTGATGAAGAATTGTCATTTTCAACGCGGATTGGAGGCAAACATCTTCGTCTCCGAGGACTAGTCTATTTCTGTCAAACTACTCCGCAGATCGGCCACTTCACTTCTGTAGCTGTGGATCGAACAGGCAAGACTTGGTATCACGATGGTATCGGAACACGTCGGACTTATGTTGAGGGTGATTACTTAAGGAACATCCCTCCGCTCACTCTGCATAGACACGGGGCAGAAGGATTATGTACTGCTATTTATGCAGAAGAATTGTGAGCGCACCGGCGTGGTTGGCGGGGGAGGGGGAGGAGGTTTATGCTCTGCTCTACTGACATCCGAAATATTGTTCCAATTCAATTATAATTTACTCTTCATCAAAAACGTTAACACTTGAAGCATTAGCACCGAGCACCGAGCACCGAGCACCGAGCACCGAGCACCGAGCACCGAGACCGGAAAGCGGAGTCTTAAATCCGGATCAAATCATCAAAAATAGAAATGGACTCGTACTGCCATGCGTCAGCAATGGCCTACAGACCACGTCGAAACACACATCGAGTCGCTCGCTTTCCCTACGACGAAGAAGAACCCTACCCGGCACTGTCGATGGCGCCTTGAGGATGGCGAGATGTGTATGGAAGACCACGCTGACGACTGGCGCAACCACTTTGGGCTTGTCCATTCACTCAACGTGCATGCGAAAGTCAAACTCCATTACTGCGCCATCTGCCCGCAGTGGTCCGTTTTCCGCTCCTCTCCTCATTCTCCTCTGACCATCTTTCAGGTACGTCGACGAGCTGGGTGATGGGCTCCTGTGGGAAGACCACTGCTGTGAGCACTCGCACATATTCGCTCCGTTCCGCAAGCGTGTCGAGGGCGATGTCGACCATACGCCCATCGGCATCAGCTACGTCGACAACTGCATCGAGTACGAGGTGGGGAGCGGATTCAACGGGCTGCTGGCGGAATTCCATGGCTACGTCGTCCACGGGGTAGCTCTCGTACCGATGTACTGCCCGTTTTGCGTGTTCGACGCAAGTCTCCCTATCGAGGTCCAGATGCACCAGTACGTGGCTTTTCCATGCCCTCGTTATCGATACTCACACCGCCTTAGATTTCTCAAGAATGCAGCCTATTTCGTCCACCTAAAGACACACTTGGCCGACATCAACGAGGCGCAAGCGAGCAATCTGTGTCCAGTACCTTCGTGCGGAACGCACAAGTTCTCGGGGCACGATCTCCTCACCCATCTCGTCGCCTTTCACCGCGTTCCGGTATGCGGTACGACCAACCACACCCGTGTCCGCCGGCTCCGCCTCCCCGACATCCCCCCTCCTCCTGAGCCCGTCGTCGTCGACCTCGCCCATCTGCACGACGGGGACAACGACCCAATGGACATCGACGCCGTGCCGCCACCCTTCAGCGCTACTGCCAAGGGCAAGAAGTCCGTCATCGCTGTCGCTCGGGAACGTAGAGCGGCACCCGCCAATGCTGTCATCAAAGCGCACTGCTATGGATGCAGCCACCAAAAGGACGACATCGGCGGTCATCTCGAGGCAGCTCCACTCGAGGGCAGGTGCCGTCTGACCAACGGGTACCAGCTCGTCGTAGATGGTCGTCGGACGGGCGAACGGCTCCAGTGGGTATTCGCTGAGGTATGTCTGATTGCCCCGTGCCGCTGGCGATTGACCTTATTCGTCTCCCCAGGGCGCACCGGCCGCTTCTTCACGCAGCAGCGGGGCAAACCACAAGTGCGTAACGTGCCGCAAGCAATTTCGCGACATCCGGGATCATGTCAACGATCCCAAGTCGAATTGCAATCCGACCAGTTTCAAAATCCGAAATCCAGAGTATACGAGAGACAAGTTCGGCGACATGCGCGACATTGCGGGATGGATCGCGAGCTTGGTAAGCCGCTGCTCGACCACGATGTCGCCTCTTGCTGACCCATACCAAGGCTACGAACGAAGCCGGACCTTCTGTATGTACCCCTGAAGTATCATCCATTATCATTAACACGCCCCTCCCGTCTTTAGAAGCGTGGTGTAGAGGCATGTTTTCCACTTACACCTTCCAGCACGTGCTCATCGTCGACGTCTTCAGGGATCCGACTCGGAAGCGCCCCCAGAGGCAGTGAGTCAATGCCAAGCTCTTCCATTATCCTTGCTGAACATCGAATGGCACAGGGACCAAGCAGTGCTCCGCAAGGCCCCGTATGTTCAATACCTCCTTATTCTTCTTTTACTGACTGTCATCAAGTCGACTGCCCTTCCTCGGCGGCCCAGAAAGCAGGCTCGGAGAATGCTCCTTCTGGTGAGTACTCTTGGCTGTCTTTGCGACACGGCTCTGATCCCCACCAGGACGACGATTCGGATTCGGATGATGGGGTAGAGGACGACCCTGAAGACGTCGGACAGCTATTAGTTGATGCGCAGCAGGACGCAGAGCCGGCGAGTCGGTTTTTGCTCTGGTGTCTAATCTTTTCTAACCGCCTCGTAGGAGCCCGAGAACGAGGAGATGCCGCCACCGCCTGCGGTAAGTTCCCTTCATCCAACCGTATCGTTCATGTTCGCTGATTTCTGCGCCAGCCTTTCCAGTGCAACGTCTGTCGCGAAGAATTTGCTGATGTCGAGGGACTGGCGTCGCACTTCAGGAGGCTGAGGCGCAATTCAAGGTGTAGGGCGCGCTATTTCAGGCAGCGGGAGGGGGCGCGATGGGGCGTCAAGATCGAATGGGCGACCTGGGCAGGAAATACGGAGGTGGGCACAACATGACTTTCTCTTTTTTTTTCTTCATGTGTATTTTGTCGAGTCTAATCATGATTGTTCAACTTCGATGACTCGTACCTCGGGTGTGGTGTATCGGCTAACATTATCGCCTCTCTAGAAAAAACCCCCAAAAACCACGGCGCAGCCGTGGTTTTTGGGTTTTTTGCGGATGTGCCCCCACCTGGAGGCGGAGCCGACGTGTGGGCCCCCGAGCCTTGGCGAGGGGACAGCGTGCATGGGGCGGGGGGCTGGGCCAAGCGGAGCGGCCCAGTCCCCCGACCGCGGTGACATAAGGCGCACCCCACACTTCATTTAAAAAACCCTTAGGGTCTTTTAATAGGCCCTACGGGCCTATTTCTTTTTTTCATTAGGCCCATAGGCCATTATGTTATGTCGGCCCAATATATTACAACCAATTTGACCGTTGCACGTGATGTGACCCCGACAGCTCCCGCAACCGGCCGACGACCACCAGCTTGGCCACAACAACTTCTCGTCCATCGTCTGCCCAGACCGCACCAGCTTTCGACTGCACGCGTACAGCGTCAATACGATAGCTCACACTGCCCTGCCTCCAAGTCATTGTCCGCCTGGATTGCCCGCCACGCCTCGACTACCGCATCAGTCGGACAACGCCGCCAACGAGCCTCGACCGCCACACCTTTCCATTGCCGTTCTATTCACTCCGCTCATACAGCCTTCCACATCTACGTCTATCCTATCCCTCGTCTGTCGTCTTCCCGCGTCAATCCAGCACACAGCTGCCCCAACTGCATTCATCCCCACGCGTCGATACCACACAATCCTCTCAACATAAACCACAGCGTACACGTCAATCAACGCCGGCAGCACTACCGAGACTACACTCTACTTCCACCAAGGACGTCTCTTCATCCTTCAGTGTAAACCCCAAAAACCCCGGGTCAGCTTTTCACAAATTAACTCTGCCATCTTTTGCATCCGATGTGGTGTATCGGTAACATTACCGCCTCTCAGAGAAAATCTGGTCGCGGTAGCGCGGGGTTCGATTCCCCGCATCGGAAGTTTCTTTTTTTTTTTTTTCCAGTCTCCAAGTTTCCCCCCATCCAAATTCTTTTTATCATTTTGGAATTTTTCGGCAGAACGTGGTCCGACCCCCTGCAGCTTCGCTCCGCAGTAGCACGGGCCCGCACCGGAACTTATTTTTGTCTGTTTTTACCTTCCCTCGCATAGGACATAATTAATTCCTGCCTTCTAAGAAGTTCTATTATTTTCCGACTTTCATGTAAGCTGGTCGCGGTAGCGCGGGGTTCGACTCCCCGCACCGGAACTTATTTTTGTCTGTTGTTTTTACCTTTCTCGCCCATAGTACATGTTCAATTCCTTCCTTCTAAGAAGTTCTATTATTTTCCAACTTTCATGTAAACTGCTCGCGGTAGCGCGGGGTTCAATTTCCCGTATCGGAACTTCTTTTTCACATTTTTTGCTGTTTGACTTTCTGAACCGCAACTTTTTGAGTTTCAGACTTGCACTTAGGCTCACCTTCTTGTTCTATGTCAGCCTCTGCATTGACGGTCGCTCAGAAGTCATTTTTAGGGCTCTCCATGCCTACTTGATATGATTAGGGAACTTGAACCGACTGTTCGCGGTAGCGGCTTTGACTTGCTCGAATCGGAATCTAACTATTGCTTTATGCTTAATAATAGGAAAATGCGACATATCCCAATGAGCTAAGCATTCTAGTTCAACACCACTGTGAATTCTATGGTCGACCGACGGAGCCCACCTTGAGAAACACTCAACTTTCCCAGCTACCACGATTGACAGGAGAGCTTCGTCTTGAATACGATGACAGAGAGAAATCAAGTCTATAAATGACCGTCTACATGTACATCCGCAGGGTATAGTACAGGATCATTATGCAAAGATGGGAGCAGGTGGGTGAGCGTGAGCGAGTGGTGTGGGTAGCAGACAAACTAGCGATACAAAGTTCCAGTTTATTAAATTAGGAGGCAGGCACTGGTGATGCCCTGGCAGTCGGCGGGCAAAGCCCTAGCAGTCGGCGGGAACGGATGCGTCGTCCTCGTGGTTTTGGGCGTTCACGCCGAGGCCGCGGCTCGCGAACGCGTTCCAGATGAGGCACTTGTTCGCCCCGCCGTAGCGGTTCTGGTCCGCCTGGATCCATGCGTCGCGCGCTGTCAGGCTGAGAATAAAAGAGCGGTTAGTGCCAAAAAATAATAGATGTCTGTGACATACAGAGTGGGTTCGCATGGCTGCAGTGCGAGGGCGTCGATCATCAGGTGCAGGAACACGACGTTGCCCTCGGGGCCGTCGGGGGTCGTGAATGCCGTTGAGGAAAACCCGTGCTCTCCAACGAGCGCGGCGTACACGTTGTGGAGCATGTTGGCCCACACTTCACCGATGTCTGCAAAAGTACAATTGATTAGATTTAGGGATAGAGGAGAAGGAAATTATAGCAACGCACTGTGCACCTCGTTGAGCGTACCGACGCTTGCGTACGTCAAGGGATTGACTTCCCTACATCGTCCGGTCAGCCAAAAGATACTGCAGTAACTCTGGGACACGACTCACTTGGAGGTAGAGTACGGGTGGGTGCGGATGCCTGCGGGGTCGTTGATGATGTATGCGCCCAAGGTGAAGTCCGTGATCTGTTCAGACTTTTGTTCCGTCCACCTGCCGCGCTGTGGTCAGTATGAAAGAGGAGTAAAAAATGCGCAGCGTACTCGGCGAGTGCGTCGGACCATCCCTCGCCCATGCCGCCCGCCTCGAGGGTCTGCAGACACGCGCCGGTGCCGCCGCCCGTCATGCGGTTCGAGACGCCGTGCATATTTTCGTGGACAACGACGTCGTTCTCCAGTGCGCCATCGCGTTTGGGCTGTGTGCAGCAAATAATAATGAGAAGGTGAACGGAAGACAAAGAATGAGAACGCGTACCTTGGTAGCAGTGAAAAGGAACATGCGCATGTGTCCTGATTGGCCACTGAGATAAATGGAAAATTTAGCAAACGCGCATACGGTGAGGGCAAGAAAGAAACACACTCAGGTGGTGTCTATAAAAAGTATGAGAATGTCATAGCAATGGAAGAATCGATGAATACACGAACCGAGAAGTCCGCGTTGTCAGTCCCAGCCGCGTCCTGGATCGATGCGGTAACGCGGTCGCCCGCCTCACCGCCATGGCCGAGATTATCGTTCTGGAAGTTGAACGCCTCCTCGGTGAAGCCGTAGCTAAAAGGACAGTAAATACATCAACGGAATGAAATAATGAAATGAAAGAACGAACCGATAAGTGATGTCGTGGACGGTGTTGACCACATAAAAGTTATTCACAATCGCTGCAGCGACATTGTCGGCCACGGTGGGCTCCTGAGACGCGTCCTGGGTGTACTCGAACACCTCACCGTCGGCGGACTGCTTGGTCACACCTGTTGTGGCGCTGCCTTTGAAAGACTGCACATTGTTTCCGCTGGAGGGAGCCGTCAGATATAATTGAATGAAAGGAGATGGAGAAACATACGATGTGGTTGAGGAGGAGTTGGTGGCGTCGGTGTCATGCCATCCGTTAGGAGAGGCGTCAGGGTCGCTAGGATCCTCGAGTGTCTCGAAGCCTTCGGTGAGTGCCTGCTTTGTGATGGGCAATACCCGATACTGTGCGGTCATCAGCAAGGAGGAACGAGAGTGCAACGACGATGGACGTACTGAAGCCTTGGCGACATAATCGACGACCGAGAGCAGCTTGCCGTCGTGTGCATCGACGAGCGCCTCGTACCAGGTGCCGGCCGGCTCGTCACGTACTTGGAAAGCGTGAACAAGAGCTGCGGAGCCGTCCTCTTTGGCGAAGTACTTGAGTTCCGGGGCGGGTAGTCCGTCGTGAGACCCCCCGAGCTGCTCTTCAGCAGTTGCGCGGGCAGCGTCGAACGATATAGAAGGAGTGGAGGATGCAATGGACGCTGCGCCGGTTCAAGTAAATATTAAATTGAATGTGATCGTGCGGTTGAGCATCTTACTGGGAGTGACAAATGAGGAGCCGAATGCGACTACCTTGTCCGCGTTGTTGAACGCCACGTTGGCCACAGCGTTTGCGAAAAATATCCCTTCCTAAAGGGTAACAATAAGACGATGGATGCGGTGTATGCCGCGGCAGACCTACGTGAGACTGCTTAGCGTAGGCATATCGAGCATGGGCGCCGGAAAACCCAGCGTGAAAGACGGCGTTCTCCGCTTTGAGGCTGAGCTTGTCTTGGAGGAACGCAGATGCCGAATCTAAGAGGCTTGTCCCAGCACGCTTGCGGAGCGGGTGGTCGATGCCTTCGCCGAATGTCTAGTCAAAAGTTGAGCTGCCACATCGTTTGGTGTTCAGAGATATTACCTCATAGGTGCTCGCGGGGTGGAAAGTCTCCAGCGTCAGACCGCTACGGAGCTCGCGCTTCCGGTGTGTCGTATGCTTCGCACTGGACCAGACTGGGGCCGGGGAGGGTGCCGGGGCAGCGGTGACACTTGATGCGTAGACAACCGCGAGCAGAACCGAGGTAAAGAATTTGTTGAAATGCATAATGACCGTCGGTGGAAGGGGAGTGAGGAAGGGCGGATTAAAGGACTATCGAAGGAAAGTGCCGTGGCTCCCTTCCGTCGAGAAAGCGCTCCTTTATACAAATGCTCCATGATGAGGTTACCACACTTGCACGGAGATCAATAAGGAGGGCGGTGGGGATCGATGGGGATCGTCGGCAAGCGGTTAATTATAATGGCACAGCAGGGGTGGTAGATAGGGTGGATGCATTCAAGTTCCACGAGGGCGTTGCGCCATCCAATAATACTCCAACAGATCCAACGTATGGCGGTGTGAAAGACGAGTGCACTGGACGCATGGCGCTCAGCCTCTGTTGTGAACTGAGACGAGGAGACAAAGAAGAACCACAACTGCGACAAACAGTTACCTCGGCGACGGTGGCGGTGCATCGTATTTGCCGTTGATTCAACCGTAGTTCAATTATAATTAGTTGACAGTAAGTTGAGCTTCTGGTTCCGCGGGTATGGTGGGTGATGATTTCGAGGGTTGATCCGTCGCGCAGAATTCAAAAGTGCGCTTCATTTGTTGCGGTAGTTGCCGCGATCGCGTAATAGAACACCGAAGCGCTCGCCGCATTTTTTCGGCAATTGCTTTACAGACTGGTTACGAGTCTAATCGCGTAATGTCTCCTCAGGGTCGGCTCCAAATTGCTCCAGAATAACCTCCGCCAAGATACAAGCGGAAGCAGGATACATAATGACTTTTGCTGTGTTAATCGAAAGACTGTCTGCAAGTCGCAAAAATTCACTTGAAGGAATGCAAGTTACAGAACGATGCAAATTCATTCCGATCCCCCACGCTATTGTCAAAACGCGCGCCTGGTTCTACGGCACCAATAAACTATTTCAGTATGGTTACCGCATGCACTAATACGACGCCATATGGGCCATGAAATATCAAAGTGACACTGCAGCTCTGGGGTCTGATGACAGCGGAAGCCCACGAAAAGTGAGGCCGAGAACGCCCTTCGATGGCTCGGAAACAGAATTTTCGGAAATAGGGGCTCCGAGAATGGTTGCCAGCAGTTGGATAACGGTAAATCCTGAGGACGGAGCAATACAAATCTCACCAGCACGCCATTCCGGATCCTCTTCAAGTTTATACCCCGTCCCCCGCGATCCTGGTATTCCTCTACCCCCTCTTATGTGTCTCAGTTGAAATTAATTAGGGATGGAATGGACGCACTGCCTTGCTGTCGTCCCTGGAGCAATTGTTCCTTGGAATTTATCATAGGACTTATACACCCACCCCCCGGATCCACAATCAAGGTGATTAATTCCGAGTGTACGATTCTCATCATCTCAGGCAAGAATGATCGAACCCGCTGTGCAACAATTTTTCTGGGAACCATAGAATGTTTATTTCCGACATGTCAGATTCATTACAAGCTTGCCTCGTGAGCTCGAGCGGTGCCACAAACGGGTCACCCAATACGGGACGCACATGCTCGTTCACTCCCTTAACGCATCTGCA